CGGGGACAAATAGCTTCTTTCAACGATATTTTTTAAAAGAAAAATGTTATGTTCCAAAAGAAAGTTCATGTCGAAGAAAGTTCATGTCGAAGACAATAGAATCTAACTTTTGCATTAATTGTGACATGATACATCATATAACCGATAAAAATGAACCGCTCAAGGTGACACATAATATGAAATGTTTAAGCCGTTCAGAAAAAATTTAAGAGAATGATATAATAATACATCTAATATGGAAATGTGTAAAAACACATAACTGCTAATACATTGTTAATATCGCAACGTAAGGCGATTGGGGTTGGATTAATCGATTGGGGTTGCTAATACATTATTATTTTTGGGTTTCGACAATTAGTTTCTTTTATGTAGCTATTACTGGTAGCTAGTCAGTCGACGGGGTTGGATTAATTGATCTAGACGATGATAATTGTGGTATAAAAAAGTTTATTAAAAAATATATATTGACTATTTTTATTATTCTTTTAACTTTGACCGATTAACGACAGTTACCCAATCAATGACTGTCAAATCAAATTATTGATTGAGATGGGAGGTTTTAAAAATATAATCAATTTAAACAAAAATCAGAAAACATAAATTCGTGATGGTGACTTGGTGAGATGGATATGGTGACCAACATAGGACTCATCTTCCCAGAGCGTCTCAGTTAGAGATGGCGACTGTTTAGGGCAGCGTGTTTAGGGTTTGTTGAGAGATAGATGTGGTCGATGTTGGAAAGATGAAGATGGGCAAGAATATCATTTACCTATTTCTAGCATAAGGGTACAACAACAATTCGAGAACAATCAAAATCTATCGAAGGGATACGACACCAAAAAGGGGTTTGTTAATAACCTGTAAAAAAATACTTAACTCGTGAACCTACCTTGCTTCAAAACACATACCAGACTCGCTGGAGTCTTGAAATCATTGCAACAAAAAAGAAAAATAAATAAAAATTCGTGAACCGACCATGCTTTAAAACACATACCAGACTCGCTGCAATCTTAAAATCATCCACCCGACTTTTCCAAATCTCCAAAAACCTTCATCACAACGACAAAAATAAAAAAAAAACAATTATCTTATAACCAAAAAAACACCAGAGCATATGTTTAACTGAAAAAACAACTGATTTGGTGATAAAGAGATCGGGGAAGGATTCTTTTATGCAGATTTCATGACATCAAAGATGTGAAGGTCTTGGCAGGGATGGGAAACAGTGGTTGTGTGTGTGAAAGAGAGAGAGGTGATTGACTGTGGCGTTAGCGATTATGGAGAGAGAGAGAGAGAGAGAAAGAGAGAAGAAGAAGAAGAAGAAGAAGAACGGATAAGATGGATAGTATTTGACAGGAAGCAACTCGATCATATATCTAATATCTTGTTCTGCAATCAGTTGTCCCAGGAGGTGTATGGGCGAGATATGATTAAAGGGGAGGGGTAATCTACATATATTTTCCCGATATCTCAGTATTATCAACAAGACTCGATCAACATTCAACATCAACAATCAGAGAAGTTACGTCAACATTACTAACGTGGAGGTAAAGATGACAAATCGATGGTGGTGAAGGTCGTGGGTGAGAGGAAGGACGTTAGTCGTGATAGTGGTTGGTTGAAGGCGGAAGGAGGCAAAGCGGCTGTGGTGGTGGCGGTTATATTGTCTTGGTTACTGGTTAGGGTTCTTCGAGAGAGTGTGCGTATATTTCTTACTTTGAAGGGATTACGAAGATAGATATGAGATGGCTTGTTACCAATGTGAGAGAAGAGATCCTACATAAATTGTTGACATTGACCGCTTCAAATGGCTGAAGTGTTGAGATTGACGGATTCAATTTGCAAATGAATTCTTCTATTAATTTGATACGAGATTTTTAAGGGATAAAGGATAGGGTTAAAGTTTTAATATTATTATATTATAGATGGGTTGTACTTCAAGCTTAATAGTTTGGACGTCTTAAAAAAATAATATTATTATATTTAATCTATTTATAGAAATAGTAAGATTTCTTTTATAAGATAGTAAAGATATATATATGAAACATGTAACTAAAATAGAGCATAAATGAAAATTAATTACAGAAACTAACAACACGATTAAAACCACAATATTGTATTAATTTTGAAATATGTAATTAACTTTTGGTTATGAAAAAATGGATTTTCAAAAAAGTTCTTTGTACTCTTATGATCGACCAGTGCTGCATTTGTACCCACAAGACACACACTCATACACAAGTTCAGTGAATCCAACCTAATTTGCTCCGCACTTCCACCCGATGTGCGTGCAAGACAAAGCCTTTGTGCTATATGTAGTATAAGGCTTATAGATCTTTTTTACTTGTAACCAAAGATTAAATTCTTCCTAATTTCTAGAACATACAACACGTCATTGAAAGCTCCTTTGCGAACGTCATCTTCAAAACAATCTTCCTAACACCCTAGGTATCTAAAGTAGCCGAGTTTCGCATGAAGAGTTTTCGCCAGTGTCTACAACCTTGAAGTTTCTGAACCACTCCCTATGCAAGAAAACATGTCGTGTATCTCCCGTATGAAGACACCATTCCCTAGGTTAGACTCGAAGAGGCTTACTTCAGGGATGACCGATGCAATATCAATGTCAGACACTTCGCGTGTTATTTTTTCCACAACATACGCTTACTTTGATTTATCTTGCTTTGGAAGCTTGCAATTTGTAGCCTCGTGCCCTGGTCGGTCATAGTTGTGGTTGTTACCTTAAGGGATAATGACTTAAAAGGGTAATATATTTTTCGATTTGTACACATTTGGTCACTGAGTTTTTTTCGTCCACATTTATTAGGGCTGTGCATGGGTCGGTTCTGGACCCAAACCCAACCCAACCCATAAATGGTCGGTTTCTGGTTTTTAGAACCCAATAGGATCGGTTTCTGGTCGGTTCGGTTTCTCGGGTTCTGAGGTCGGTTTGGGCAGTTTTTCGGTTTCTTGGGTTCAACCCATACACTCACGGGTTCTGGGTTTAAACCCATGAGTTTTGGGTTTTAATCCATTTTCCATAAATGAAGCAACAAGTTAGATACTTCAAAAAAGAACAAATTGAAGTTAAGTACTTCAAAAAACATGAGTCTTACAACAAATAGTCAATTACAAGTTACAACTAAAGCCCGAAATAGTCTATTACAATTAAAACACAATCAAGTATGGGTGGTTTCTCGGGTTGGATGGGTCGGTTTCTTGGGGCGGTTTGTTGGTTTTAATTATGGGTCGGTTTCTCGGGTTGGATGGGTCGGTTTCTGGTTAAAAACCGAAACCGAACCCGATTTTTCCGTTTCTAAAAATATCAAACCCAAACCGTCGGTTTTTCTTTGGTTTCGGTTTTTTCGGTTTCGGTTTTGTCGGTTTTAGTCGGTTTCTCATTTTTTTGGTTTGGGTTTGCTCACCCCTAACATTTACCCCTTCAACTTGTTAAACTGTACACATTCAATCCTTATGACCGGCTATTCCAGGTTATCCAGTAAAAATGACTTAATAGGGTAATATATTTCTCACTTTATACACATTTAGTCATTAATATATATATATATATATATATATAATATATATATATATATATATAGTAGAATAAATAATTTCTGTTTTTGTACTAATTCATTACTTATAAATGATTTCTTAAGGTTTTTCTCACGACATCTTACGTGAGACAATCATTAATGAGGTGTATGAGGCTTTTGATGTTTATGTCCATCGTGATCTCGACTACTTGGTTGTTTATGTCATATGTTATGAATGTCATAACTTCTTCATACGATCTTAAGATTTTAACGATCTTTATATTCATGCGTTCGTATTCAGTCTACTATAACTTTCGTTTAGATTGTTCCTGTTAAAAAGTAATATATTTTTACTAATGATCTTTATACCCATACGCTTTATATGAATATATATATGGATGTTTTTTTTTATAAAATCGTAAGTAAAAATATATTACATTTTAATGGGAGTAATCTTAACGAAATTTGTAGTAGACTCAAAAAACGATTAGATATAAAAATCATTAAAATCTGATATCGTATAAAGAAGTTACGACTATCATAACACAAGACCTAAGCCAAACTACAAGACCTATGCAACTAAACAGTCGAGATCGCGATGAACGTAAGCATCAACAACCCCAAACTTCTCATCAATAACAATGAGGTTCCCGATGATCATTTTTTCGTTTATGCTTCATGTTGAAGTTGAAAACTAGAGTTTCTTATTTTTCTGAAAATTGTTTCTTTTCTTTTGTTCACTTTCAAAATCGAACAACATAAAGACACTAAAAAACAAAAAAAAAATATTTTCTTTATTTGATGTCAAAATCCTAATAATAGTAAAGCACACTAAAAATCCATTTCTTTTTCTTTTTGTTTGGTGTTAAACTAAAAAATAGATTTTGTCCCTAATTTTTTTCTACAGTCCCTTTAGTGCAAACAAATTTGTTTTAAGTTTGTTAGTAAAATATCACAGAAATAAAGGAACGAACAGTATCTTCAACATAATACCATTTCTTAGGATACAATAGCTTAAATAGCTCTTTGTGTTCAACATAATATCCCTATGTAGGACACAATAGCTTTAAATGGTTCTTTGAAATCATGTAAAACTTAATGTAGACTTAAATTACCTTCAAGGACCAACAAACACACAAATAATTAGAAAAAAAATGGAATCAATCTCATTTGATGTGTACCAATTTGTGCCCACAACCACAGGAAACATGTATAAATAGAAAAATATTATAACTTTATTGTAAAACTAATTTTCCAACAACGTCTCCTTAAAAAAAAACCAATTTTATTATTTCATAAATTAAAAAAAAAAAAAAACTTTATTATATAAATAAATGATTTACCGTTGCTTAAAAGGCCAAATCTATAAATTGGGCTTTGCAAAGAGTCGGTATTTGAAAGAACCCGACCCAATTAGTTTCCACTGAATCATCTGTTTAGTGTCTATCACTTTATCTGCTAGCTCCTGTTTGTATATCACGACACAAAAAATCTTTTATCAAATTCATATCAATCGGTGTTTTGTTAGCTCCGCATTCTTCCCCCGCCATAGCCGAGCTCGGAGGTACGTCAGCTATGTCCAGTTCTCACCTATTAAATAATCGTATCGTTTTCTTCTCCAAATTACTGTTCGTATCTTCAATCTTGTTTCTCTGCATCTGTTTTTGTGTTTTTATTTATATTATTGGCTTCTATATATCCATTTTGAGCGTATTACCACATAATTATGTAATATTTCAAGCATAAGCTTATCGAACAAACCCTAGTTTTGATTCTCTGACATCATCCGCTGGATTTTGATATTAAGGCTATGTTATCTTCAGTTTGAACTGAAAAGGATTACCTTGGAACCATTTTTCGTGAATTGGATTCTAATTGCTAAACAGACGAACAGTGAGTAGGCTTTATTCTTCAACAGTACTAATACTTTATTCTGGATGAGTTATGTTCATTAAGAATGCTCTGATTAAGGTGTTGAACTGCGTGCGTTTTTTCGTTGAAGTGTTGATTAGGAGGATTTTCATGTAGAAGTTTAGGAGGAGACAACATCACTTTATAAGGCAATTTAGCTTAACTACATAAATCAGTAAATCACATGTTCTTAACCCTAATATCCGTTTTCTTTTAGCCCAAAACTTAGAAGATGGATGAAACAAATGAAAACAAAGACACCGATCTGCAAACTGGAGAAAATAATGATCTTAAAAGACAATTATGGAGAAGATTTCGTCCAAAGCTATGGTTTTCTTCCTTTTGGAAAAAACATTCTCTTGACTCAAAGCTAAATATTACCAAAACATTCTTGAAGGCTAACATCATTCCTGCTTCAATCTCTCTAGCAATGGGAATCTGTTATCTCCTCTTGAAATCAAAGGGGCAAAAATGTAAAGTTGCTCCATATTCAGATTTATTGAAAGGTCTACAAGATGGAAGTGTCACAAGGGTTCAATTCAAAGAGAATTCGCGTCGTATAATGTACAATAGCAATCCACAAGCTTCTCAAAGTACAAAAATAGTAAAAAAAGAACATTCAAACAACTTTAAAGAAATGGTGGCTTCTTTTCTTACAAATTTGTCAAGAAAACCTGAAGGTTTGAGTTTGACCGAGTCAAACTCCAACCAATCAAGGATTGATGTTGAAGTAAAGAAGAGGGACAACAATCATGGTTGGCAATTTTCTACAAGATACATTGATGATGATTATAGAGAGCTTCTTCATTTAATGAAAGAAAAGGGGACTACATATGGTTTAGATCCTGAACCTTTTTATGTTTCGGGTGGGAGGAGGGTATTTTCGACATTATTAAATCAGGCTCCTTCATGGGCTATGTTGTCTCTAGTTGCTCATGGGCTTGGTGGTGGTGGTAGTATTGCAAGAAAACCTAGTAAAAATGATGAGGTTACTTTTGATGATGTTGAAGGTGTTGATGAAGCTAAGGCAGAGTTATTGGAGGTAATTTTTTTTTCTCTCTCTTTTTAGTTTAAAAAATGGTTATTAGTTGTTTTAATTAAGATTTTGTTTTTCTTTTGTTGATAATAATTAGGGTTAGGTGTGTTTGCATGTGCTTTTACTATCATAACTAGCGAAATTCTAATTATTAAAGGAAGTAAATAGTAATATATAAAAAGTACAAAATGAAAGAAATAGCAATGCACTTTCAAAATTTTTTTTTTTGTGTATTATGGCATCCTAATTTCATTTCTTTCTATTACAACATTTTACTTTCAATTTTTTCTTATTAAGACATGACACTTTAAAAAATCCTCCCAGTTATAGCATTATACTTTTAATTAGGAATTATAATTATTACAAACATAAAATCCAAAACATCTACATTTACTTTTACCTTAACTAAAACAAAATATGTTCTAGATTGTTTCATGCTTACAAGGGGATTCAAAGTACGACAATCTTGGGGCAAAATTACCTAGAGGGGTACTTCTAGTGGGCCCACCGGGAACCGGGAAAACATTACTAGCCCGTGCAGTGGCCCAAAAGGCGGGGGTCCCGTTTTTTATAACATGTGCAAGTGAGTTTGTTGAGTTATTTGTTGGAAGAGGAGCTAGTCGCATAAGGGATCTTTTTAAAGATGCTAGAAAATGTGCACCTTCCATTATTTTCATTGATGAACTTGATGCAGTTGGACTTAAACGTGGTAGAGGGTTTAACACTGAGGGTGATCAAACTTTAAACCAAGTAAGTTGCATTTTATTTATTTATTTTATTGAGTGGGAGTTTTAATTCCAATGTGGATTGGGCTCGTGTTTGGTATGATGGAATGGAATCAGAAAGGAATGGAATGGAATGGAGACATGTTTGGTTAGCGTGAAACGGTGAAAGAATGGAATGAGCCATTCAAAGTATATGATTTTTTTTCATGTGTAGTTAGAATACTAAATGAATTTGAATTGATACGTAAAGAATAAAATGTTATTTATTTATCTACTCGAATAAATAAAAACCATTTCTACCACTTGTCATTCCTCATGCATTATGCCACATGTCATTTTGTGGTAATTTTAGATTAAATTATATTTAGATGTCATTTTGTGTTTTTCTTTTTCCATGTTATTAAATTCCATATAATATTTAAATGTAAAAATGTAATAATAATAAATGCATATCAAGTTCATTAATGCAACTTTCCTTTTAATTTGTAAATTTTAATCTGAATCAAATTATTTTAATTGTTTATTTATTTAAATTATTTGTTTAAATTTAAAAGAAAATGAGCACTTCAGTTTTAATAGTTAAATATTTTTCTCTCTTTCCTTATAAATTCAAACTTTCTAAAATTTTAGATATTTATATTTGTTTTTGGTTTCTTAAATAAACGCATGTAGTACATGGGTCTCACAACTAGTTAAAAATAAAAAAAGATATATTGCTAAATAAATTGCATACAAACAATTTTTCATGTCGTTTGAAATATATAATGTGTCTCCGATAGTAAAAAAGTTAATTTATCATTTTACAATAATGTTAACCAAAAAAAAGAGCTAAATGTATTTAAATACACCATGAAATCTTGAAATAAAAATATAATTTAAATTTAATTTTTTACATATTTTTGGAAAATAACAAAATGTAATTCAATTGAAATCTTGAACTTTTCTAAAAACATTATTGATCTTAAAGATTATATAAATAAAAGTAAATTATAATTATGACATATCATTCCATTCCTATGTGATACCAAACACCACCTTAGTGGGCCACTAAGCACCTGATTTACATCTCACATGATGCTTTTAGGGCAGAGCAGTGTGGGCCAGCTCAGGGGTTTTACTGTAAAAAGAAGTTAACAATTTATGTTTCGGATTTTAACAGTTGTTGACGGAAATGGACGGATTTGAATCGGATAAAAAAGTGGTGGTAATCGCCGCAACAAATAGACCCGAAATGTTGGATTCGGCTTTGCTTCGCGCGGGTCGGTTTTCAAGAAAAGTGTTTGTTAGGGAACCGGATGAAGATGGAAGAAAGAGAATTTTGGGCGTTCATTTTAGAGGGGTACCCCTCGAGGAGGACAAAAACGTCATTTACGATCTTGTTGCATCGTTAACACCGGGTTTAGTAGGTGCTGACCTGGCAAATATTGTTAATGATGCCGCTCTTCTTGCTGCACGTAGAGGTAAAAGTTTCATAATCAACATGATAATGTGATACAATAGACCTGATGAGGAGGGTATTTACGTCTTTTGCACACTCAAGTCATTGTCCCGTCTTGTTATAGACAAAAATTGTAATTTTTGTCTGATATTGGTCACCGTCACAGTCGCGCTGTGACAGATTGTCACAGTCTGCTGTCACATGCGTCTTACGTCTGTGACAGCAGACTGTTGCAGATGCAACAGAATGTTAATGTTAAGGTCAAGATCAAGGTAAAAGTCACAATATTTGACTTGTTTGGTTGACATAGGTGGAGTTTGTGTGTCGAGAGATGATGTAATGGAAGCGGTTGAAAGGGCAAAACTGTCATTTGACAATAGACAACAACATGAGGAGTTTAGTGAACAAGAAGCTCGGGAAATCGATTTGATATCATCCCGACTGCTTGGGCAGTCAAGGTTTGACTATTAAACAATAAAAAAAAATACCGATTTTCTTTTTTGGAGTTGATTTTGGTAAGTATAATTTTTTACCACAATGTTTATTAATTTTAACAATATATATCAATTTTAACGTGAGTGGAGTTCAAAAGGGAAAAAAAAGACAAATAAGTCCTTTTTTTTTAGCTTAACCCATTAAAACATTATATGTGGTTTCCGTCTCTTTTAGCTATTTTATCCTTTTATAAATATAATATCGAACTCTATCTTATATGTGATTTGAAAACATGTTTTAGGTTAGTAAAATAATATTTTTAAGTAGTTTTTAATAACAAATAATGAGGAAGGATTATTGATTCAACAATCATCATTCCAGATTAATATCAATGAAACATTCTTTTATGAATTCACTTGGCTACAACCCACTAATTTGCTTTGCCTTGTGGATTTTCAACATATATTTTGTTTTATAAAACATTTGATAGGGATCAAAACAACAAAACGATCCCATTTTGAACCACTGAAATAACATATATTGTTTAATTTATAATGTTATCCAACCAAACCTCCAAAACTCAAACAATAAAAGAGTCCAAAAACTGAACTATTAGAATTGATCCAAATCTAAATCGGATCATGATCCACTTACCTACACGAGTTTATATTAATTTTAATAATATACATCTAAAGAAATATCATGCTAAACTTGAAAAAAAAATTGTTTGATTCCTGTTTCGAAGTCGAACTGTCTAAATCAAAAACCAATTTCTGAAAATGATGTTAAACAGCAAACCAAATCAAATATAGGCAGTGTCGATTATATGCAATTCATACTCAATTTGATTCTATTTTAATGGATACAAGTCTCTCTTATCTTAATCGAGCTTTACCCAAAGTTTGAAAGTATGGTTGCATTACATAAATATGATAGCACCTTACAGTAGTACAACTACGGATACATTTCGTACATGATGATGGATATATGGTGGGTCATTGTGCACCTATCGTTATGATACTAACTACTAAGTCTAGACCACAAATGGGTCCAATGGCGATGTGGTTCCTAATTTGGAAAAAGTGGTTCATGGTCAGATGGTTTGGTTGTGGTCCACATGTCTTTGTAATTTGGCCTCACCATCCATGGCCGTGGAGTACATCCGTACCACCCGGAACTATATTGCAATACGGATGTTTTTTTTGAAAGGTATGATTTTAATTTAAAATTGGTAAGATGTTAGAAAATTGTAGAAGAATACAAAAAAATGTATATGTTTCTAAACCAGCCTATTCTATCAACTTTTATTTAACATAATATTACTAGACATCGATATTAATAATTTACGTCAAATATATAAAAAGGTAATATAAATATAAGGTCGAAATATAAATATTTTATTTAAAAGTGAATTTTTTTTATTACATAGTAAATAACAATAAAACCTAATAATTATTTCTCTGTAAGTAACTATTCGCCAAAAGAGGTATTTATCGTCGCCGCTTTGTGCGGGTACACATCTAATATATATATATATATATATATATATATATATATATATATATATATATATATATATGTTTAGAAACAACCTTATATTAATAGTTACCATTCCAAAAAAAAAAAATACAGGTTTTTAAAAAAAATTGGCGACTACAAATCTGATGTTGCTCACATTTTTGTTTTTTAATACGACAGTGATGTTAATTTTGATAAAAACAATTAGTTAAGGTTGGAAAGATCAATCATACCATTCCATATCTAGAACACAATCGAGCAAAAATAATCGAAAATAAATGTAGGTATTGACATTTTTCGTATACAATCAAGAAAATATAATGGATATGTAATAATATATCATATATTTAGCCGCTCAGTTCTCTTAAAAAATTATAATTTTATTTTATTTGAAACGTAAATAATAATATAAAAGCTTTTCCGAACACAAAAATAATATAAGAGTTTTTTTATCTCTCTCTAATATATATATATATATATATATATATATATATATATATATATATATATATGTGTGTGTTTGAACTTACAAATATAATATACTCCTAAACTACCACTTAATTCCACCTATGTCCACGACGTGACTTGAACCCTTAATCTCAAAAGTAAATAACACCACTTGATGCCATTGTGTTTTTCTACATATATCCCATTAAGTATATACATTAATGATTTGCTAAGATACATTTTATCTACAATAAGTCTCCATTTTAAATATATATATATATATATATATATATATATATATATATATATATATATATATATATATACACACACACAGGGACGGTTCCACTATGGTGCCCATAGTGGCACCGACAACCCCTTAACTTTTCGGATACAGTGTAAAAATTTTCGAATCTTTCGTTTTTCCTACATTTATGCCACTACGTAAAAAGAAAAATGTGCAACCGGCAACACCTACTATGAAATCCTGGGTCCGTCCCTATATATATATATATATATATATATATATATATATATATATATATATATATATATATATATCAATTACAAAGAAAATGTTCTTCTTAACGTTAAATTCACAAATCAATTACACGATAAAGTACCACAAAACTAACACAACAACAAGATAGCTAGATCACATTTTTCTTTTCGTTTCTTGTTGGTGTGGATATTAACAATCTTTAACCCAAGCATCAATACCAATTTTCCCTCCTTATCATCTTCAATCACTCCTAATTGGTATGGATACATAATCTACTTCAATTTATAAGGTTTGGACATATTCCAGTAAATACCATTATCTGTTTGTATGCAATTTGAACTCAGTTTTATATGAAAACTTTTCGAGCATCCTTTATCAAACAATATTCTTTGCAAATATTGGTTAAATTATGGTGAAAAGGTGTAACATCCTCAACTCGTGCTTAAAGTTTTTGCCATATTTTAGTGAAAATAAAATAAAACAAATAATTAATGAAAGAATAAAAGAAAGAATAAAGAATAAATTAATGAGGTAATAAAGGGTTTAGATTAAATATGTTATGAAAATAGTTAATTTGAACTTAAAATTAGAAAATAAATGATAAATGATTAATTCGACAAGTTAGTCAAACCGGGGGGGGGGGGGGGGGGGGGGGGGGGGGGGGGGGGGGGGTTAATTAACCTACTTGCTAGAAACTTAGAAATTTAGATAAAGTATAAAACTTATAAGTTTCAATAAATAATTAGTAATTATATTGATCAAAGTGAGAAAATTTGAACTATAAGGGTTATTACGTAAATACTCTAAGTATATAATGTAGTTATATCCTCCTTCCTTTCCCATTTTAAATCAAATGACTAAGAGAAGATTTAAAGTTGTGATATCGATCTCTTCCTTCTTCAATGGTCGAATTGGAGCATTCTGGTTGCAAAGTGAAGAATCAATCATTCCTTCATCTATTTGATTAGAAGGTAGTTTTCTTCTATACTTCTTCCCTTCCATTATCTCTGGTTTGTTTCATAAATTAGAATTTGAATTCCAAGTTTGATTTTATGTTATAATGAAGTTTCTAAACTCTATTCTCTTATTTGATTCAATCTCCAAGCAACACCCCCCTTATAGATACTTGAATGGAGTTTTGATAGAGTTTTTAGGGTATCTAACCCTAGTTTCCTTAGATCTCAATTCTAAGAACTCTAAGAATAATGAGGTGTTTTTGAGTTGTTTATAATGTTGTTAGTGATAGGTTTTATAAGTTACAAAAAAAATTATGTGGCGGAAAAAACTTAACCCTAAGTGCACATGCAACCTATTGGATCTAAGTTTTCACTATTGAACATCAAGAACCCTAGGAGTACTCTACTTTTTTCGAAATTCATAAAAGGTTTTAGAGTTTACATAAATTTTGATTATTGTAGTAATAATCAACAATTCCTTCTTGATCAAGCTTTAGAAAACAAGCACTATAAATCTCGTGTCTCTAATGGTTTGTACTTAAACCCTAGCAATAGAAGACTTTAGAGGATAGAGGAGAGGGAAGGAATTTTCGGCTCTAAGGCTCTTAGAGAAGGAGTGTCGAAGCTATAAATCCCATGAGGGGTTTATATAGGTGAGTAAGGAGTCTAGGATGAGGCAGATTTCGTTGGATAGTCCTTATCATTTTTCTTGCTCCTTAAGGCTTCCAAGAAGCCCTGGGAACCTCCTCCAAAACCGTCCCCCTTATGGGAAGGTTCTGAAATTCTTCAATGCTTAACTTTTAAACATTGTCACCTTTAGTCCCTATACTTTTAATTAATCTAATTAATCCCAAAATTAATTCCAATTAATTATTAAGTAAATAAGACTATTTATAATTAATATATTAACCTCATAATATATTAATAAATTATTTATTGCTATTTATTAATCTTATAATAAACCAATAAATCAACCTCTCTTTCCAAAAAAAGTTATTCTGTCAATTACTAGGTTTGAGGGCAACCCAAAAGGACTCTACTTTTAATTCAAGTACATAGCAATTTAGTTATTGCTTAGACACCTAATCCAACAGTTAGTTCATCATGAGGTTTCTATCTAATCAATGGATGGTTAAATTCCATCTCTAATTATGGAATCGGGTAATATGAACCCTATTCTTTATGTATGAGTTGGTGCTTTAATGACTCTATATGCATGTGTGGATTCAAATCCATGAATTCTAAGTGGATTTATGTAAATAATAAATTAAATGTTGATTCCAGTTATGATTCCATGAGTTCATTGAAGTTTACAGTTGATATTGGTGATTCCAATAGTGATTCACCATTGGAATTGAATGGGATGATTTTGAAACTAGTTAAGATTTAATAAACATTGATTTAACTGGTAAGTGAATCAAATGATCTAAATGTTGAAATGTTTTGAAGGATTTTAAAATGTTTATATAAACTTAGAACATTTATTACGAACTGGAATAACATAACTTCATAATTATGATTGGAATCACAATGAAAGTATTAGAATTATATCTTAAGAATGGAATGAAGTATTACATGGTTTATTAAGTTGATATGAAGTTTATTAAGTTTTCATTATGTTATTAGAATAGTTATTGGTTAAGTTGAAATCTAGTAAGAATTTATGGGCCAATGTTGATGTTTGATGTCTACATGAGCTTCCCTAGATACTCTTGTGATGTTGAAGTGTCTTAATCATTAATTAAAT